AAGGACAGGACAACGTCCACATCCCAGGTAAGGTTGTGTTAGACTGGGCATTGGAGTCCGGGAGTGATGACTCCTTTGAGGAAACGGCACATAAGCGGGTGCTACACCCAACGTCCACATCCCAGGTAAAGGTGTACTGGGCATTGGAGTCCGGGAGCTGATGACTCCTTTGAGGAAACGGCACATAAGCGGGTGCTGACCCACCCTGCACCCAACGTCCACATCCCAGGTAAATGGTGTACTGGGCATTGGAGTCCGGAGCTGATGACTCCTTGAGGAAGGAAACGGCACATAAGCGGGTGCTGACCCACCCTGCACCCAACGTCCACATCCCAGGTAAAGGTGTACTGGGCATTGGAGTCCGGGAGCTGAAGACTTCTTTGAGGAAACGGCACATAAGCGGGTGCTGACCCACCCTGCACCCAACGTCCACATCCCAGGTAAAGGTGTACTGGGCATTGGAGTGCGATTGAGAGGGCATCCACCGCCACCGCTCTTGGGTTGGGTTTCCAGTTGCAGTAGACCTCCAGCTGACCATTCGTCATGAAGGCAAACAGGTCGATGGAGAAGTGGCCGAGCTGGTTCTCCAGCTCCAGAAACACATTCCTCTTCAGCCTCCAGTCGCTTCGAGTCCACCAGATGGCATGACAGCCAATCTGCTCTATGAAGTTTTCCACCCATGGGAGGTGTTCCACATGAATAGTAAACTTCCTTTGTATGCACCACTCCCATCTCTGTCAGTGCTGAGAGGGGCAGGGAGAGGGGGAGGGTTTTGATCAGGGCCATTATCTCCTCAATGCTTGAGAGGGATCTGTTGGCAGGTGTGGGTCGTGAAATTGAGGCTTTTGGCTGAACCTCTGGGGCTGGGAGGATGGCTGCCTCCTCCCCGAGGTTGGGACCCCACCCCTGTCCAACACATAGCCGCTGGCTGTTGACAGTATTGACTCTGTTGACTGTTGGGCAGTGTTGACGGTGTTGACAGTGTTGACGGTGCCGGTTGACGCTGTTGACAATATTGACGGTGTTGACAGTGTTGACCCAGTTGCATTGTGACAGTGGCAGTAAGTGAATGGCATGCACAGGTCTGCGTAAATTTGATAGTAGAGCAACCCCACTGCGGTTAGTCTGGTTCCCAGACCCTCACAAAATATACGCGCACGCATAAACGCATGCACGAGGGAGGGAGAGAAGGGTCTGGTAAATAACTATGCCTCTCCACGGGCTAAGGCTGGAATGATGTAAAAGGTGTTGCATATGCAATTACTAACCGCACAGGGTCCGGAGCGCTGCGTGCCCGTCAAGGTGTGCGTGTAATGGAACATCACGTTTTATAGTAAGTAATGGAGCTAGAGTAAGCGATCGAAAGGCTGTTGAAGCAGTTGGTTTGCAGTCACTCAAGCCTCTACAGCGCCATGTAATAAGCTCGTTTGTGTGACTGGAAATGACGTTTTTGTGAGTGTTCTTACCGGTTTTGGCAAGTCTTGCAGGGGTCTACGAGCTTTTGAGTCAAGCAGGCTTGCTTCGCAGGCTCTACTGTCCGATACATCAAAAAATCTGAAAGAGTCGACGTGTGCGCGCACGCGCGTTAGTATTATAGCGCATAATGATATTCATCACAGTTGGGTGTAACCGAAACCGCTCGAGATAAGTGTTGCTGAAATTCTTTGGCCCGTGGAGAGGCATAGTTATTTACCAGACCCTTCTCTCCTTCCCTGGCGCATGCGTTTACGCGTGCGCGTATATTTTGTGAAGGGTTTGGGCACTAGGCCACCAGCCTACACTGCGCGCGATACTATAGAGTGTGGCGCGCTGCATGCTGCGCGCAGCAGTAGCAAGTGGGCGCATATGCGCGTAAAATTGTATAAATGTCACATGACCATCATTATCATTAGCTCCGACATAAGCAGCTGCGGTGTGGTAGAGAAAGCACAAAAAAAGGTGTGTATAGCGGTGTGCGAGACTAGGTGTAGCTACTAGGTTTGTTTACTATCGTGCTTCATGAGTTTCTTTCCATTTTTGGTTCTTTTTCTCGTAGGTGCATTTGATTGCCTGAATCTGAGCAACCGTGAGTAGCTATTTACTGTGTGCTGTGAAACTGGTCTCTCTGCCCTTTCATCACTCTAAATGGTTGATGGCGGTAAGTAAAATGATTGGCGAGCGGGAGCAAGCCAACCTAGTCGTTGCAACAGCCCTAATCCTCTAGTGTTTTCGCGGTCACGTGATCCCGCGTGGTGGTGTACAGCTCATAATGGTTCTCTGCATAGTTTTCGCGTTCGGGAAGGGATAAGGTCTCTTTACAGGATGCCAAAGGTTATCACTACCAAAGGAGAAACAGTCAAAAACAGGGTGCTGGGTTTTTATCAGCGATAAGGAAACTGACCTAACCGAAAAGATAATTTCCAATGACAGGATATGCTCTATATAGACATTGTCTCTTGGGGAAGCCAGCTTGCCTAGTGACGAAAACAGCCCCGATTAGCTACCAAGTCTGAACCTTGGTCACAGCAACCAGGTCAGTTAGTGTAAGGCAAGAGCCGCCGAGGAATGGTGGGAGAGAGTGCGAACACGGGACTTGCAGATTACTGAGCTTGAACCAACCTCTTCTAAGAACCAAGTGGGAGAGATGAGGTCTGTGTTGTTTTGAAGACTGGATGTGTCTGACCTTCTAGCATGGCTTGGGGCATTCGATCATTTACTAAAAAAGAGTGATTCATTGTGAATGGGAAAGAATATGTAGAATCACTAAGTACGGTAGTACTTAGTATATAGGGATGGGCATGGTATAGATGTATGGGGCTATGATAGGGAGTTTTGTTCATCTAGCATAACTCAAAAACCAAAACAGATAAAGACATGAAATTTTGTAGGAATGTACCTATCGATGACCACATGTGCAACGTCATACTTTTTTTTGTTTGTAAACAAGTTGTTTACTGTAAAAAAATGCCCCAGGCAATACATTATAATGTGGATACAGTGGGTCCCGGTTAATATCATATCATACCACGCGGTGCATCCAAAAAATATGATAATGTGCGGGATATTCTATAATGCTGGCACATATACTGTGTATACTCTGGGTGTGATTGTGTATACCAATGTATATTGTGAACTAGATAGCACACAATGCAGTTTGTTTAGCTAAGCTAATGAAGATAGGCTAGCCTAGCTGTTTACATAAGCTAATGAAGCCAGGTGGAGAATGGAGAGTTGCAAAACTCCAGCCCAAAGTTGTACAATGCCTAATTACGCATGCGCAATAATGACAATATGTGGGCAAAAACCAAAATTGCTCAATTTTTCTATGATAATAGGCGGGATATGACATTATCCGTATTCTCCGTATTCTATAAAACGGAGTAAAATGTATGGGAAAGCATAAGAAATGGTTTTGGATTTCAGGTTTGTATGATTATAATCGGGATATTCTATTAAACGGTATGGTATTAAGTGGGACCCACTGTACCACATGTGTCTGTATAACTCACAATTGGTAAGAGCTATGTGAACGAAAGTTTGTATACATAATGTATTCAATCACCAACATCAAAATCACAACAATACATTATTTGTAAATAACAACAAGCAGCCTCAAACACTTTTCTTTTATCTTCACTTCCGAATGGTAGCACGCATAGAGATGAAACTCGGTATGTATGCCTATTATATCATTTCCATAACGATTGCATGTTTCCATGACGACCGCATATTGTTTGAAAAGCCTCAGGCACATTTTCTTTAAAACTACTTCTTCACTCCTCAAACTTGTTAACTGTAGCACGCATGGAGGTGAAACTTGGTGCGCATGTGTATTACATCGTTTCCATGACGACCACAACAACAAAAAGCCTAAGAACTTTTCTTTATAATTACTTCTTCACTTCTCAAACTCACTAACGGTACCACGCATGGAGATGAAAATTGGTATGCATGCGTGTAACATCATTGACAAACACTTTATTTGAAAAACAACAAATAGCCTCAGGCAATTTTCTTAAAAATTACTTCTTCATTTCTCAATTGTAGCACACATAGAAATGAAACTTGGTACACATGCGTGTAACATAATTTCCATGACAACCACTTTGTTTAAACAACAGCGAATAGCCTCAGGCAATTTTCTTAAAAATACATTTTCACTTCTCAAACTCGCTAAAGGTAGCACGCATGGAGATGAAACTTGGTACACGTGCGTATTACATTATTTCCACGACAACTACATGTTTCTATGACAACTACATATTGTTCAAATAGCTTCAGGCATTTCTCCTCAAAATTGCTAACGGGGTAGCACGCATGGAGATGAAACTTGGTATGAATGCATGTTACATCATTTCAATGACAACTTAATATTTCCATGACGACCACATATTGTTTGAACAACATCAAATAGCTTCAGGCCCGCTTCACTCCTCAAAGTTGCTAACGGTAGCACTCGTGGAGATGAAACTTGGTATGAGTGCGTATGACATCGTTTCCATAACACCATATTTTGACACACAAATAGCTCTGGCATTTACTGACTTTTCATCCTCAAACTGGTACGGCAACACATGGATGAAACTTGGTACAAATGCGTAATGATGACAACAGGTACTTGGATGGGATACATACAGCATGGTTAATCAACAGATTTGAGCACGCTGACACCCCAAACCCCATCACACAATCCATATATTTTGTAGCCTAGGTGTATTAAGTATTTTTACGCATGCGGTACGAGGGTTACTGTAGTTGTCATGTCTGTCTGTCTGTCCGCGAGCTATCTCACTTCACGAGCAATCAATCGCTCCACAAACGATACCACATATTCAGCGTCGGATAAAGGTCAAAAAACATGTAGGGTTTTCTCTGAAACTGCTGCGTTCGGGAGTTACAGCGTGAAACACGAGCGAAGAAGGCATTATGCTAATTAGAACAGGCTTACCTCGAGCGGGTGCGCTTGCTCTGTGTATCTTGAAGTCACAAGAAATAACAACGAAGGCCGTGTGTCGACTCCCATATGCTATATACTAGTGTAGCTAGCCCGTGTCAGACTCTCCGCGGGCTACTAGCGGGAGACCACGAGTAAATGCATACTAATAGCCCAGCCCATCAATTAGCGGTACCGTGCATGCGCAGTTCGCCGAAGGTTTGCACTCAGTGCTTTTTCATTCAGTTTATACTGTAAATCCCTTTATTTTTGTGGTCCTATAGTTTTTGCGACTTTCACGATTTCCTGGCGGTCGCTAAAATTTTGGACTCGTTAAAAATTAACTGATCACGTGATCTCCACGTGGATCTCTTCGCATCGTCATGTCTCTTTACCGCTGGTTTTCTAGTTGGTCGAACAAGCCGTTTCTACCAGATCCAGCCCAGGAAAAGACCAAAGAGAAAGAGCTTGAGGTCATCAATGCCAATACGAGAGTTTTGCAGGCTATGGAGTCTCAGCTGTGACGCAAACGTCCCAGATGTACCTACACATATTCGCCTGAATTACGTGCTAAAATTGGAAAGTTCTCGGCCGAATCAGACAACAAGGCAGCCGTTGAGAACTTTTCTGAGGAGGTGGGAAAGCCAGTGAGCGAGAGCACTGTACGGGGTTTGAAGAAACGCTACTATGAAGCCTTCAAACAAAACCGGATGGGCGAACCTGTCACGCAACTTGAGCACGGTCTTCGTGGATGACCGCTCAAGCTGGGGATCTAGATTCTAATTTTCAGGATTACAAGTAAATTAAAAATCCTGCGAATTTAATGAAAGAGGCATATAGGGATGGTATAAAAAGAAAGGGGGACAAGATAGGGATGGGATACATGAAGCATGGTTAATGAACAGATTTGAGCACGCTGACACCCTGACCCCATCACACAATCCCTATATTGTTGCCTTGTGTGCCACTCTTGGTTACTCAGTAGCATGACTTTTTTGTATTTTTTCAAGCTGTAACTGTAAGTCCTGACTATTGTGTAATATTGAATCTTTAACAAGTGGAAAAATCGTTTCTTCAAAATGAAGGGGGATGTAGGGATGGCGTAAATTATGAAAAAGGATACCAACAAGAAAGATGCTTCAGCTGATAACAAAAATCATACATCCATCCCTACATCTTTCTTTCTTTAGCTCAGTCTAAGATTGTGTAAGCACTCGTTATTGGTGTAGGTATACTAATTGATAACAAATCACAGTTGAGGTTGTGAGTAAAGAAAGATGTAGGGATGGATGTATGATATTTGTTTTCAGCTGGAGCATCTTTCTTGTTGGTATCCTTTTTCATAATTTACGCCATCCCTACATCCCCCTTCATTTTGAAGAAATGAGTTTTGCACTTCCACTTAATTTTTTAGAACGTGCTCAGCCCCACCCTTTTCGCAGTGCAGATCAGCGAGCGAGGGGCTGCATGCATTAGGGTACACGCACACGTGGGCGGAGATTTATGCACAGTAGAAAATTTGCAAAGATCATGATCACACACACACACTCACAGTCCATTGTGGGGGCAGGGGCTGTGACGTAGTTTGCAATTTTGACACTTCTGCGCGATTCTTGCGCGAGAGATTGGCTGGCGCATGCACAACTAACCCAACATTCATTATACAATATGCTTTGTTGTGAATTGTGAAGGAAAGTTTTTTTCTTTAGGAGAGGTCTATACATATCTAGCTCAAGTTAAAGGTGGAGGCCAAATCAGCTAGTAGCAAGCGGGCAGTAGCAGCCAGAAGTTTGTCTCGGTGAAAGGGGGCAAGCCCCCTATAGAAATTAATAATAGAGAAAAATGCCTGTTGTCGTCATGGAAATGATATAATACGCATTTGTACCAAGTTTCATCTCCATGTGTGGTGCCATTAGCAAATTTGAGGGGTGGAGAAGTAAATGCCTGAGGCTATTTGTTGTTGTTCAAATAATATGTGGTTGTCATGGAAATGATGTCACACGCATTCGTACCAAGTTTCATCTCCATGCGAGGTATATACCGTTAGCAAGTTTGAGGAGAAGTGCCTGAAATATGTAGTCGTCATAGAAACATGCAGTTGTCATGGAAATGATGTAATACACATTGTGTACCAAGTTTCATCTCCATGCGTGCTGCATTTAGCGAGTTTGAGAAGTGAAGAAGTAATTTTTAAGAAAATTTCTTGAGGCTATTTGTTGTAAACAATGTGGTTGTCATGGAAATGATGTTACACGCATGCGTCTCCTTCCGTGGTAGCGTTAGCGAGTTTGAGGAGTGATTATAAAGAAAAGTGCCTGAGGCTATTTGTTGTTGTGGTCGTCATGGAAATGATGCAATACACACGTGCACCAAGTTTCACCTCCATGTGTGCTACTGTTAGGAAGTTTGAGGAGTGAAGAAGTAGTTTAAAGAAAATTGCCTGAGGCTTTTTCAAACAATGTGCGGGTTGTCATGGAAACATGTAATTGTCATGGAAATGGCATACATACCAAGTTTGATCTCTATGCGTGCTACCATTGGAGAGTTTGAGGAGAATTAAAGAAAAGTGCCTGAGGCTATTTGTTGTTGTTTACAAACATGTATTCTTGTGATTTTAATGTTGGTGATTGAATACATTATGTCTACAAAGTTTCGTTCACATAGCTCTTACCATTTGTGAGTTATACTGACACATGTGATTCCATTATAATGTATGGCCTGGGCTATTTGTTGTTGTTGTTTACACTAATACGTTTGACGAGTCTCTTCGGGTGGCGGATATCTACATTATCTGGTGGAGTGGTCTATAGAGCTATTTTGTTATCGCTGCCGCTAAGGGGATTGTCGAATACAACAATCCTGCATTGTTGTGTGAGCATGGAGGCACAATTAGAAATGGGCAGATTCTCTGTTATCGCGTATGAATTCTGTTTAAACGCAAGGCAACCAAGGCTGCGCGTAAGGTTCTGACGGATTTCCCTGTGATCAAGCTTGCCCTTTTTGAAGCGTATTGTTGATTGTGTTCAAGTGCATAAGATCCCCCAAAGCTTATTATGAACTTGGACCAGACAGGTGCTAAATATGTACCTACTAGTGCATGGACATTGGCAGAAGGAGAGTCAAGACAGGTTGATGTTATTGGCAAGGTACGTAGGTAAGCGAGGAATGACTATTCTTCTATCATGCACAATGTCTGGTTTTCTGCTCCCTCCACACTTGATCTACTGTGATAAAACAAATAAATGCCTTCCAAATATTACATTTCCTCCTGGATGCGATGTTCATCATTCAGGGAACCACTGGAATACAGTAGCTACCATGCTACACTTCATTGACTGTGTTCTTGTCCCCAATGTGCAGTCCACCAAGCAAACATTGGGCTTGGATGAGGATCACTTCTCTCTTGCACTATTTGACGTCTTTGCCGCACACATGTTTGAAAGTGTTCTTCAAGCCCTGGAAACACATCACATCAAATGCTGCTTTATACCACCTAATTGCATGGGAGTGCTTCAGCCACTGGATCTTACAGTCAATCAAGTGTTCAAACAGGAACGTTTTATCAGGTGGTATGCTGGACTGGTCAAGGACCAGTTGAGAGATGGAGTGCAGCTGGAAATATTAAGCCAGATCTCCGCATATCAGTCCTGAAGCCACTTCTTGCAAACTGGCTTATTGAAGCTAGTTCACACATTTCTAGTGATGTGATCATTGAAGGATTTGTAAAAGCCGGAATTAAGGATTCTGTAGTCTAACACTGTTCTATCACTAGAACTGTAAAGTCACTTTAGCATAACTGGTTCTATAGTACTACTGTCCTCATGTTGTCATCACCAAAATCGCTAAAATAAAAGTATGTTTTATGGTTTACATTGCATTAATCACTAAAATTAAGGGGCGTGAAAATAAAAGGAATTTACAGACTTGATGATAATAAGAATGCGACTGATGAAAACCAAGCTATTGTTAGAGTTTTTGTGCAGAACAAAATTCTTGTCATGTGGTGATTCCATGATAGAATCATTATTGTGACAAAATGGACACTTGATCTCAACCACACCTTTGTCACCACAGTAGCAATTCGTCAGGTGATGCACCAAGAAATGGCCATTTAGGATTGAGAGAAAGGCCAGCCTCATTTACCTCAAAAGCAGAACGGCTTCGCATTCTATGCTCACAGTAAAAATAACGAGCATGCTTCCTCATGCTGACAACCCCATGTTGTAGTCGTAGATGCGAACCTGGGTAAACAGTCAGTGTGGCGTACAGATTTCATTAACCCTCGGCACACACACACAGTGAGGGTTACAGTAGTAGTTGGTTTGTCTGTCTGTCTGTTTGTCTGCGTGTCGACGCTTATTCTGGCACTACAGGCTACAGGGCGGCCTATTAGCGATACCAGCGGCTTCAGAACTACGCGGAGAGTCTGACACGGGATGCGGGAGTCGACACACGGCCTTCGTTGTTAATTCTTGTGCCTCCAAGGTACACAGAGTGAGCGGATCAGGTCGAGGTAAGCCAGCGGGATTACGCATATTGGCTTTTTCGTTTGTTTTCACGGCATATCTCTCGAACGCAGTCGTTTCAGGAAATCGTCATTTTATTCTTCAGGCTCGCGGGCTACTAGCAAGAGACCACGAGTATACACATACTCATAGCCCAGCCCATCAATTAGCGGTACCGCGCATGCACAGTTCGCCGAGGGTTTTGCACTTCAGTGCTTTTCATTCTTGAAGCAGTGACTCTACCACCTCTGTATGTAAACCACAGGCTAGACTTGCTCTGTGCTCTGGTTTCCATTTCAACAGAAATTGCCATCTGCTCAGTTACTATAATCTCAGTCTCTTCACAGGCAGCCAAAAGCTCTGTATAACGTTTGAGATACTTCCATAGAACAGTTGCTGCAGTGGCTTAGGAGAAGATGGTTGTACTGCCTTTGGAACAAAGGTGTCAGAGTAATGGTGCACAATAGATAGAATAGCAGGTTTTGATCCAATTTCTTTGAGCCTAACTCTGACTGATCGGGTGCGTTATGTTAGTGCTACATGGTGCTGACACTTGCACCTGATAACCTTTGGTATTGTGCTTGGCCTTGGCCGAAGTATCTTTTATAGGCAAATAGGGTATCTCTCTCTGATAACCACAACCCATTTGCATCTCTGCTGTGTGCAAGTTACTCTGTTGCTAGAAGTTGTGTAGCGGCCTCACGATAGAAAAGGACTGCCCCATTATGTGTACATGCTTCACCAAAGACGGCCATGCAAGTACAGTGGGTACAGCGAACTTCACCACTCTGCTGGCAGACGATCCAACAGTTTAACGGAGAAGCACTGCTACGCTGGGAATGCCGCACCTGTAGAGATAAAACAGACCAAGCTGGCACACTTACACAGGTTGCTATGCAGCTGTACCTTTCCTATAACAACAATCCTTCTGTCAATACTCCAACCCTGCACATCCCTGGCCCAACCGTTCAACAGCTGGTTGTAAGCTTCAAGGGATTTACGAGCCTTCAATTGTTTCGTTGTAAGGAAGCTACGTAGTCTGCAAAATCAAGTACGCTACAATATCGCTTGCTTCAGCAGAAGGCAGATTCGGCAGAGCAGCAGACTGGAGATTAATCGTAGCTTCTCCTCATAACGTTTTCTGGGCTATTGCGAGAGACTTTCGGCATGAAGAGAGAGAGAGAGAGCTCCAACGTCATACCTTTGGCCATAGCCAAGCACAGTCAGCTGTACACCACGACACGCATGACGTCATTAAAATGTCACATGACGAAAACTATTATACTAGTAGAATGTTTAACGTTGTTGGCGAGCGTAGTTCTAAATACGTGCCACAGGATTGAAATTTTGCAAAATTCCTTTGCAAAGGTATATACGTCAGTTCTGGATGCTGGGTGTCGTGTCTGGTGTCGGGACAAGCACGTTTTCCGCTCTGTTCGGCTGCCTCAGAGGCTAGACGCTGCTTCCGGAAAGCCCGGTCCCGCGCGCAACGTTGGGACAAGCGCGTCTGAACGCACGCTAGACACGTTGGGTTCTGCGTGCTCTGTCTCTCGATAATCGCTGCTCTCAAGCTACCTCGCTTTCGGCTGCGCGACGACTCTCTTGCGGTTAGTGGCAGCGCAAGTATTCGCCGGTGTCTTGAGGTCTGGTGTAGAGCTTTGACTTTGCTCTGTGGTAAGTTCTCTCAAGGCGCACGGCGTGCAACTTAAACAAGGGAGGCACCCTACTGGCCGGCACTAGCTACATGTGCCAGGACCGAACAAATCGACCTTTCTCAGCTTGTGCAACTTTCTACAACCCTTAACGTCCATTTGCTCAGCCCTGCCCCAATTGGGTCGCTCCTGCTCGCTAAACAATGTTCAACATTCTCCTAGTAGTTAACACTCGGCGCGCATGCGCAGCGAAGGTTATAGTACTTAGTTTGTCATTCCGTCTCTGTCTGTCCGTCCGTTTGTCTGTTACCTTTTTTGCCACTACGCACAACAAAACAGCCAATAAGCGCTACCAACGGGTTCAATGCCACACTGACTTTATTTTTAATAAAAATGCTGCATTCGAAAGTTATGGCGAGAAAACCAAATAAACAAGCCAATATACAATTTAGTAAAGGCTTACCTCGACTGGGTACGCTTGCTCTATGTACCTAGTAGTTGCAACAAGTTACAACGAAGGGCGTGTATCGACTCCTATCTGTAGATAGCTCGTGTCAGACTCTCTGTGATCTACTAGCGGGAGACCACGAGTAAACGCATATTGATAGCCCAGCCATCAATTAGCGGTACCACGCATGAGCAGTTCGCCGAGGGTTCGCACTTGAGTGCTTTCTCATTGGAAATAGTACTAGTAGATGTTTGTGTTTTGTTGCTCGAACACTCCAGAAAAATTCAAATGTACGTCTTTACTGCTATGTGATAGCTAAAATTTTTCAAGTTTTGTCTGTATTTACCAACCTTCGTGACGGCTTGTTAAACCTCTACCTGCATAATATCATTTTTAAGTTTCTATGTGTGTCTAAATTCATTGTTTATGCTTGGCTCTCTTATCATGTCATCTATGACATCATGTTCAACACTATGTCTCTCTTTACTTCCTCCACCACACCTCTACCTGCAGGAAGTAAGTTCTCTTGTTTTAGGCATGAGTACTTAATGCTCATGTGTCTCTCACTTCGTCCACAACACATCTACCTCCACAACACATCTACCTGCACAACAACAGGAAGTGAGTTCTCTTGTTTTAGGCATGAGTACTTAATGCTCATGTGTCTCTCTTTACATCCTCCATTACTCCTCTACCTGCACAACAACAGTATGTAAGTTCTCTTGTTTTAGGCATGAGTACTTAATGCTAACGTACTTAATGTTCACATGTCTCTGTTTACTTCCTCCACAACACATCTACCTGCACAACAACAGGAAGTGAGTTCTCTTGTTTTTGGCATGAGTACTTAATGCTAACGTACTTAATGCTCACGTGTCTCTCTTTACTTCCTCCACGACACCTCTACCTTCACAACAACAGGAAGTGAGTTCTCTTGTTTTAGGCATGAGTACTTAATGCTCACGTGTCTCTCTTTACTTCCTCCACGACACCTCTACCTGCACAACAACAGGAAGTGAGTTCTCTTGTTTTAGGCATGAGTACTTAATGCTCATGTGTCTCTCTTTACACATTCCTCCATTACACCTCTACCTGCACAACAACAGCCTGTAAGTTCTCTTGTTTTAGGCATGAGTACTTAATGCTCATGTGTCTCTCTTTACATCCTCCATTACTCTTCTACCTGCACAACAACAGGAAGTGAGTTCTCTTGTTTTAGGCATGAGTACTTAATGCTAACGTACTTAATGTCACTGTCTCTTTTACTTCCTCCACACACTCTACCTCACAACAACAGGAAGTGAGTTCTCTTGTTTTTGGCATGAGTACTTAATGCTCACGTGTCTCTCTTTACTTCCTCCACGACACCTCTACCTTCACAACAACAGGAAGTGAGTTCTCTTGTTTTAGGCATGAGTACTTAATGCTCACGTGTCTCTCTTTACTTCCTCCACGACACCTCTACCTTCACAACAACAGGAAGTGAGTTCTCTTGTTTTAGGCATGAGTACTTAATGCTCACGTGTCTCTCTTTACTTCCTCCGCGACACCTCTACCTGCACCACAACAGCCTGTAAGTTCTCTTCTTTTAGGCATGAGTACTTAATGCTCTTGTGTCTCTCTTTACTTCCTCCTTTACACCTCTACCTGCACAACAACAGTATGTAAGTTCTCTTGTTTTAGGCATGAGTACTTAATGCTAACGTACTTAATGTTCACATGTCTCTCTTTACTTCCTCCGCCACACCTCTACCTGCACAACAACAGTATGTAAGTTCTCTTGTTTTAGGCATGAGTACTTAATGCTCTTGTGTCTCTCTTTACTTCCTCCATGACACCTCTACCTGCACAACAACAGGAAGTGAGTTCTCTCGTTTTATGAATGAGTACTTAATGTTCACATGTCTCTCTTTACTTCCTCCATGACACCTCTACCTGCACAACAACAGGAAGTGAGTTTTCTCGTTTTATGCATGAGTACTTAATGTTCACATATCTCTGGGGGGTTCCTTGGAAACGTACCTCGAGTGGTAGCTAGTTTCTAGCTCTGCTTTCGAAAGCTTTTTTTTGCTTGAAGTTGTTATCTTCTGCTACTTCTGTTGGTGTTTGGAGGGAGAGGAATCTACCAGCTACCATTATCTACTACTCTTGGAGGTCTTCGGCGGCCTATTTTCAGAACTGCAGCGCGAATTCCAATTAATGCCCACCAATGACGCTTCGGTGAATACAGCTCCCCGGACTAAGTCTGCTCAAGACTGGGTCGTGAGTTGCAATAAACGGGCTAGGGCGAATATCATTTTGTGGGGAATGCCTAAAAGCTTGTCAACGCTGGAAATACGGGCGAACCTCGCGGATATAGGATTAGTCGGTTTTTCTAGGGGAAGCGTTGCTTGGGAGGGCGATCACGTCAGGTTAGTGTTACTGCATAAGGATAGTAAGGGCCTTAGTAAGGCGGTTGTGGCGCAAATTTCAGCCTGTCTTCGGAAGATTGGGTGTAGATGCGTGTTAGATGAAACCTGCCCCGCTAAAGAGGCTGTACAAGTTGGCATTCAGTGTGTTAATAGGTTTTCTCAGCTAGCTGCTAGTGTGGATGAGTGTGCAGCTGGTGTGCCTGAAGGCAGTGAAGTGAATCTTTCAGTTGTTAGTGAGAGGGATGAGTGGCCAAGGCAAAAAGGACAGAAGGCTAAGAGTCGCTACATGGAATTTTTCAGGCCTTTGTAGTGAGCGTAAACAGAGAGAGGTAGGGGAGCTTTTGCAAAGGCTCAAGATTGATGTAGTAGCTGGTCAGGAATCTTGGGAGAGGGAGGGAAAGGCAGTTGCTGTTGATGGCTATAGATGGTTTGGAAAGCCTCGTGAGAATCAGAGTAGTCGTAGAGGGGAAGGAGGGGTTGGGTTCTTGGTTCGGGAGTGCTTGATAGACGAGGTAGAGTTTGTAAGTAAAGTCAGGTATGAGGAGAGCGTGTGGATGAAGGTTCGAGGTGGGAGAGGGAGGGAAGCATTGTATGTGTGTTGCATTTACATGCCTACAGATAGTGCTTGTGCTTCTGTCATTGAGGATAGTTACATCAAGTTGAAGGAGGATGTGCTTGGGTTCATGCAGAAGGGGAGGGTTGTTCTTCTTGGTGATTTTAATGCGAGGGTGGGTAGATCTACTGATGTTGATGATGTCATTGGGATGTTTGGGGAGGAGACTTGTAATGCCAGTGGAAATAGGCTGATTTCATTCTTGAATGAGGTGGAGATGGTGATATGTAATGGTAGGAAGTTAGTGTCGGAGCCTGAGTGGACTAGAGTAAGGCCGAGCCTGCAGCAGAAATCAGTGATAGATTATATAGTTACGGATATGCAGTTGATGAGGGAATCTGGTGATGTACAGGTTAATATAACTGATATTGGTGCCTCAGATCATTTTCTAGTGTGGCTGGAGTTGGGCCGGGTTGCGAAGTGTTGTAAAAGGCAGAAGCGGACAATAAGGAAGTGGCGTGTAGACAGATTTTTGGATGAGGGGGTTAGAGCGAAGTATAGGGAGGCCTTGAAAGCGGAGGTTGAATCTTTTTCAGAGAGCATCAGGGAGAAAGTGAGTGAGGGTATTAGTGGAAGTGGGTTAGTCAGTGCAGTTGTAGAGGAGTGGGAGCAAGTTGTAAAAAAAGTGGCAAAGGCTGAGGTAGGAGAGAAGGTAGTAGTGTGTGGCAGGGCAGTCAGGTGGTGGGATGACGAGATTAAGCAGAAGATAGAGCAGAGAAGGGAGGCTTACAAGAAAATTCTTGAGGGTCAGGATTATCTATGGGAGGAATATAGTAAACTGCGTAGGGAGGTGAAGAATTTAGTTGTTCAGAAGAAGCTTGAGGTTTGGAACGAGGTAGTGGAAAGAGCAAATTTAGATTTTGAAGGTAATAGGAAAGAATTTTGGGCATTTGTTGGTAGAAGGACAAAGGGTAAGAGGAGGGGGATTACAGCTTTGAGGAATAGTGCTGGGGTGTCAGTGACTAGTACAAAGGGCAAGTTAGAGGTGTTAAAGAGGCATTATCAGCAGTTGGGCACTTGTAGTGTTGATACAGCCTTTGATGATAGTTGGAAAGAGGAAGTGGATAAGAAAGTGTGTGAGTTTCCAACAGATTGTGCGGAAAATGTATTGGATAGGGAAATAGATTTGGAGGAGATTGCATTGTGTGTTAGAAAGTTGAAGAATAACAAGACTGGTGGTAGTGATGGGCTTGTGGGGGAGCTTCTAAAGCATGGTGGGTCAGGGATGGTAGAGTTACTTAAACAGTTGTTTACAGTAATTTGGCGTGAGGAGTTTGTGCCACCACAGTGGAGGGAGGGCCTCATAGTTAACCTGTTTAAGAAGGGAGATAAGGAGGATCCTGGGAATTATAGGGGCATCACTCTGCTGAGTGTGGTTGGGAAGGTCTTTTGTAAGGTATTGAACAATAGGTTGGTGAAGCATCTGGACGAGGGCAAAGCATTGCATGAGGGCCAGGCTGGTTTTAGGGTTGGAAGGGGTTGTGTTGATAATATTTATACGCTGAATGAACTCGTGCAGGGTAGACTAAAGGAGGGGAAGGAGACATATGCATTCTTTCTAGATGTGCAGAAGGCATACGATAGTGTGTGGCGTAACGGCCTGTGGTTTAAGTTGTGGGAATTTGGGGTAAGAGGGAAGATGTGGAGGGTCATAAAGAAGATGTACGAGTATTCAAAGAGTGCTGTATTGTTGGATGGAGAACGGTCAGAGGCATTTGATGTGGAACAGGGGGTAGCTCAGGGATGTAGCTTATCTCCAATTTTGTTTTCCGTATTTATCAATGGGTTGTTGAGGGAGGTGGAGGAAGCTGAGATTGGGATCGATTTAGTAAGTAGTGGTGGGAGACTTGGAGGACTTTTGTTTGCAGATGACTTCGTTGGTGTTAGTGAGTCTAAGGATCAGTTACAGACGCTTATAGATGTGGTGCATGCTTACTGTCGAAAATGGAGGCTAAAGGCTAATGTGAGTAAGAGTGCAGTGATGGTGTTCGCTAGGGAGTCAGTGGATGGTGCTTGGAAATGGGGGGAGTATGTTTTGCCTAGAGTATCTAAATACACATTCTTGGGTGTTGATTTTACTAATACCGGTGCATGGGATGTGCATATCAAGAATGTGTTAGACAATGGTAGAAGGAAGGTTAATCAGTTGCATAGTGTAATTAGTAATAGGGATATTAATTTGAGTGCTCGCAGGTTGTTGTTGCTGGCGGTGGTTAGGCCAACTTTAGAGTATGGGGGTGAGGTGTGGGAAGCCAATAAGACTCAGGCAGCTGCGTTAGAGTCCGTGATGCTGGGAGGAGCTAAGCGTATTCTTGGGTGTTCGTCTAAGACATGTAATGAAGCCGTTAGGGGGGATATGGGGCTTGATACGTTACAAGGGCGTAGGGATAAGAATAAGTTGAAGTGGTGGTATAAGTTAGCGGCATTGCCAGGCAATAGGTATCCGAAGAAGCTTTTTAATCAGAAATGGAATTTTAAGCCACGGAGAGGCAGGCAGAGGAAGTGTTGGAGTAAGGTCATTGATGATCTCTTTTCGTCATTAGGTCTTGACAAGGCAGAGTGGTTGCATGATATTCAAAATGGGGATTGCTCCTTGAAGGGCTTTCTGTCTATAGTAGGGGACAGCATTAATGAGAGGGAGATTAGAAGGTTTGAAGAGGGGCTAAATAGCAAAGTAAAGCTGTTATTGTATAAGACATTTAACAAGGTGGTAGAGTTCAAAAAGTACTTGCATGGGAAAAGTGATGCTGGGTCTAGATTAATGTTTAAGTTCAGGTCAGGCACGCATGGGCTAAATGAGGAACTCGGTAGGCATAGGGGGAGGGAGGGGATGAAGGAGTGCCTGTTGTGTGATGATGAGTGTGAAAGTGTGAGTCATGTGTTGTGGGAGTGTCCAGCATATAGTAGTCTTAGGAGCAATTTCTTAGTTGCCCTGCAGGAGAAGCTTGGGGATGATGGGTTTGAGCATTTCCAGTCGCTTGATAGTTTCAGGAAAGCATCCTTTATATTGGGTAGTGAGCTGTGGGAGGATAAATTTGGTTCTTTGCTTCGCCTTGTTAAAGGTTTTATTTCGGATGTTTGGGAGCTAAGAAAGGTTAGGTTATATGGCGATAATCCCAGCGTACAACAGACCCAGTCTCAGATTGCGTCTGGGGAGCTGCAGGGTGTCACTGGTGGAAGGGGTGAGTTGAGGTGTCTGGGAGGTGAGACAGACACCGCATGTTCATATGGTGTATGTTCGTTTGTTAACGGTTCCGCCCATTGCTCTGGGTGCGTGGTCTATGGCCCTAGTGCTATGGCAGCCACCTGAGTATTATTATTATTATTGCCTGTTGCTAAGGTGTTGCTAAGTTTATTCCGCAAAATAAACTGCCAACAGGGCTGTGGTTAGGGAGCAGGGAGATGTTGCAGGTGTCAATAACTGGTGTGGAATTTTAGTCAGTACTGTGTACAAATAGCACGACCTTTTATTCGTTGGGAATGGAAGATTGGACTGATTCACCCGAGGCAACGCCACTAGAATCCGTGTTTTTCGGAACATACTTCTTCGCGAGCGCTCCTTCGGCGCATTCGTCTAAGAACTCCCACCGGTGGGAGCATTTCTTGGAAAGACTTAGGCGCTTACTCTTGGATGGAGGCGAAGACGACGGACCGGAGCCTCCCTTTCCCGGATTTGCCCGCTGCTCAACACGGCGCTTTCTCGTAAGTGGCGTTAAATCAGTCCAATCTTCCATTCCCAACGAAAAAAGGTCGCTAGAACGAGCCACCGCTGAGGCCGTCAGAAGCGAAGGATACACAACCGGTACAGCGCTCGCGTCCGCCATTGTTCCCGC